AATTGTATACAAGGGGAAACTGACATGTACTCAACTACGCATGCGTGACAACTATAAACACATTGATCAATGTATAGTTGTATGCATTGTGACGTAAATGTTGTGTCATGCAGCGTCACTATAATTAACAGGAACAGTTGGATATAATTTTGACTTTACCTCTGGGAGTGTCTCGAATAACGGTCCGATCCATAGCAACACTACCAACATCAACGCACTATTCACCAAGCCAGCAATCTAAAGTAAAAGTCCCGGATGTAAGTTTCGTTTTACCAGTGATTATTCAACTAAACCTACTACTCTACCTACTCTAGTACAAATTCTCAACAAAATTATAATACAAATTAAATAAAAATGACGCCATTTGTGTACCAGATAATCTTGCATACTAAATATTAAAAAGATTCCTCATATACGTACTTGTGATGTAGCTCCAGAGCCTTCCTGGACCATACTACGCGCCACAGAGGCACTAGCAGGGTAACAGGAGAAAAAACAGCAGATAAAATTGGTCGAGCCGAAAGCTATCAATTCCTATATAAACAATACAAAACACAAGAAAGGGAAATACGATATATAAGATATACATACACTTTACATGGCTTAGGTACAATAACAGTAGCAGTAGATTCGGAAACACAAAAGCTACTTGTATGTAAATTGACTAATTATACAAGCATGGTAGAAGCTATTATTTCATTCATGTTGGTAATTGACAACCAATGTATATGTATCTATTGAGTGTGCATTTATCTATGCTAGGCTTATCGAAACATTAATATAAGTCACGTGGTCACACGCAGCGGAAATACGCCATACTAAGTAGGGGAGAATATTAGGGCATTATCTAGCCGTTGAAGGTTTGGTTATAATGAATGCATCTCATTTAAAACTGAATCCTGATCGATATTTGTCCATACCTGGTTTGCATCTATCTTATAGCTATTCTTCTGAGAAAACAGTGACGCCAAGGCGATACCAATGGCGTAGGCTACAATGGCGATCGGGACGGCAGCACCAATCAGGTCAGTTAGGTATGTAGTGTCTGGAAGCTTCGGAGCGGGTATTCTGAGAAATTAAAGAAAAACCATACTTCAACCGTGTAAACAACTATAATTGCATGTTATTTGGTGATTATAGTGTCATTACTGGGGAGGGGGAGCATTCGACTTACCCGGCTGGAATTTCTCCAACGATATCAACATCGTAATTGCCTTCCAAGTCTAACAACCAACTAAATAGTGTACCAAGTATAACCTAAAAGAAATGAAAAATATATACTATGATACATGTATCACGGTTGATAAATAATTGCAATATATTAGCCCCTCCTGTTTACAGAATAGATGTCACCAGAACACTCGTGCATCTATTTTAGTTCCGTGCATTGTTGAATTTGTTAAATATTGTCTTGAAATTAGAACGCCATGACAGCAAAATATATTAGTTAATGTCATTTTCAAATTTATCGGAATGGAAAGCTATTAAACTAAGTGAAATCTACACAAAACCCAAAATAGATGTACACATGTTCCATGCCTCCATCTAAAGAACCACTGATATATCCTGTAGTCATAGTAACCTAAGAGAGCGACGAGATACGTATCAGTATTGCAATTGCAATGTTATCTTTCAATGTGTCTTCTATTAGTACTGCGTGATAGCTTCGTAATTATGATTTTCAAAATGAAAGAAAAAATTAAAAATCCCCCTTATGAGGAACGGTAATGTGTAATATTTCGAACAGTTCTACACATTATTTTTTCTGACAATAGTGGTAACAGTCCCACAAAACCATAGTTACTGATTGATCATTTAGGAGGGGTCAAATTGGTGACGATATATATGTTAAGACTACATTTCACAATAACAAAAATTAGGCATGGTCGAATGTATCCGATTGGCGGGGAGTATCATATTGGCCGAGAGGTTCCGATTAGCCGAGAGTTTTCGAATAGCCGAGAGTTTCCGATTGGCTGATAGTTCTTTTTTGACCGAGAGTTCCCTAATGGACGAGAGTTTCCGAAGAGCCGAGACTATCCGATTGGCGGAGAGTATCCAATTGGCAGAGAGTTCCCGATCGCTCGAGAATGTCTGATTGGCCCAGAGTTACCTAATTCCACTGCTACAAGGAATTCAAATCAAAAGCTAAATAAATTAATAAAGTACTTACCACAACCAATTCTGGTGCCAACGGAACACCGTGAAGCTGCTTCTTAAATTTGATTTCTAGTTCTTTAATAAGTATTAAAGTCAGAATAGTACTGAGTGAAAGCAATATAGTCACATAGTTCCATTCATCAATATTTTGGAATACATCTCGATATATCTGAAAAGGTTAATAATACAATAATTAATAAATAATGTAATACGTCATTAGTTTTTTTTTTTATATTTATTTATTTTTTAGTTATTTAGTTTGGTATTTCCTGTGCCGCGTAATAATACATCGCCATATTTCATTAGTAAGTATGACGAGTGTTGAAATACACTATACTCACGTAAAATAGCCCAAATGTACCAGAGTAACTACCAACACTAACACCGAGTAGATCGTCTACTTGACTGGTAAACACGTGGAACCCAGAACCCGTAGTATACCCTCTAATGAATGGGTCAGATAGGTATATAGTAACCCAGCCAAGACGGAGTATACCCAGTATTAACTGAAATGAAATACATAGAAATGATCGCAATAAGCATCTGTGGTATATTCCCTAATAGACTGAACAGATTGTATAGTCATGTTAGCGAGTCTTATATAAATGGGGTTTACTTAAATTTAAATACTGAAATAAATTGCTCATTAATTATAAAATGTACAACTAGTATTAGTCAGTCAGTTTCCTTTCGATGGATGTACGCCGCGCCGTTCAAGAATTCTGATATCAATTAAGTAAAGTATATTCAGAATAATATTTGGCTTATTGACTTTTTATTAACCAAGTCATGCTTCTGATAGAGACACCAGTCAGACTGGAAGTGTATTTAAATTTCGAGTCCATACAAAAACGCGACAAGTAAAGTCGTTTATCAAAAGTTCTTTATTGTGTGGAGATGTGCTGCCACGTGGTACGAAACGATCCGATGCGATATGTCAGCAAATAACACCGAATAAACGGCAAGGTAAAGACTATGTCTAATTATAGTAAATACGTACTGCGTGCGTGACTCGAACCGGCGCTCGCGTACGGCACCTAATCGCCTAGCTTCACGCCACTAATCGCCTAGCTTCACGCCACTACACGTCTTCCCCTTGTTTAGGTACAAG